TTGATTCGCTCACATAGGAGGGTAAGTGTGGGTGCCAGTCGCGGCCCGATTTGAATCGTGACAGCTTCGTCATAACTTTTTTTTTAAATACTCAAACACATTACTCTAAATTTCGTAAATGGATGGTATGAATATCTACCCACTATAATATACCGCATTCATCTCATTTATAAGCTTTAACGATTCGTCAATCCATATAAAAAAAAAGAAAATCAAAATTAGAAAAGACTACAACATAAAAGAAAATAATTACTAGTACTTTTATTTATGTTGAAATAGTTAGAGTACATGAAAGACATTATATTTAATGTCTCCACTTTATTTAATTTTCATAACATAATGTTCCCACCCCATAGAATAATTAATTAACCCATTCTAGGAGTAATTTTAACAATGGCCTTCCAGTCAACATACAGCAAAACTCTGCCACAAACATAATTAAATGGCCCCATCATACCAGGATATAAAACCCTAATATCACTAACATTGGGATTTTCCTTCTGAATTACTTCTTTTGCATATGTTGCTGACTTTCCAACAAGTTCAGGCCATGATAGCTTACCTAAAATAATTACAAATATATATATATAAAAAATTTAGAAATTATAATTATGTAATATTAGTGGAAAAAATAATAATCATAATTATGTATCCATTTGTGAAATTAAATTAATAATTAACCTGGGCATACAAATTCACCATCATTTTCCACTGGAAGTTGTAGTACTTCTATGCCATCACTGATCAAATCTCTTGCCATCAGTGATTGAAAAACTGTAATCATAATTAATTATTTACTTATTTCAGAGATAATATATACTAGTAAAATATACATGCACGAGCAATGTCAGAGTCACTAATTCCACTAAGAAAATTTAAAATCTGAAGAAGTAATAAACAAATAAACTAGTCAAAGGATTCAAAATTTAATATACAACGTACATACATATGATATAATTTCTCTATTCTCCTTTCCCGCCCAACCACACCGCAAATGAAATATAAATCATTTACAACTCTAATCATAATCATGCATATATGTATATATATATATATGGAAAATGTTAAATGGCCAGAAAATTTAGCAAGAATTTGGTCAAAAAATTTTAAAAAAAAACTATAACATTTTTAATTAATATGTATTAAAGTTAAAAAAGTAATGTTTAAAAAGGTAAATATAACATAAAAATTTCTTATTCTGGCCAATTTTTTTTTTGTATATATATATAAAGAGAGAGAAAGAGAGGTACTAACACAATGCAAGAAGAAAGAAAAGAATGATGTGAGCAAACTTTGACTCCATTTTCTTTTAGTTGTAATGTAAAGAGTAGAAGGAATTGAGTGAATTTGTATAACTTGTATCACATTAATTTATAGGCACAGTTTGCCTTCATGTATTGAGGTACTACATATTAGTGGTGTCTAACAACCACATGTTACAATTTATAATAAGGGACAAAATGGTCTTTTCCTTTAAAGCCACTAATTAGGATAAAATTATTATTTTTAATTTACACAAGCATGTAATGGAACAGTGAAAATTGAATTTACATATAGTAGGCGAGGGAAATCCATTGATACCACTATTTGTAATTTATGAATTCGAAAAGAATAAAATAGGAAATTTAATTTATAGTCAGTTATAAATATTTTCTAACTATATGATTCTTTTTAGGAGAATATTTTTTATGAGTCAAATACTTAATGAAATGTCATAGTGAGTAGCAAATTATAATCAAAAATTTTCCGAAGCTAAAACATAAACATGGAGTGCTGAAAAATTATTAAGTAAAATAATGGTGCACTTAAACTGTTTGGTATATTCATTTCTTTTCCCAACAAAAGATTCTTTTATTCTCTCATCTCATTTCATCTCAATTTATGTGATGATTATAGTGCTTAATGAAAAATGTTATTATGTCTTTCAACCATACATGCATTTATGTACTCTTTATGTTATGATTTTCGCTGGTTGAGATTCAATTGTATTATATATTTTCTTCGCTCCAAAATAAATATATTTAAGTAAAAATCACGTTCTCTAGTTTACTACTCTTGGCCTCTAGCCTTTTTCAATGTACAATAAGGATTATATGATGCTCATGTCAATATAATGAAAATTAATATATAATTGAAGTTTATATAATTTGAATCTCGAATAGCTAAAATATCATCTGAGACAGAGAGCGTGTTTGATGTCTTACATGAGTATATATATTTATATACGAAAGTCTTAACAACTCAACTCGCTGCTGATGTTATTCGTTTTTGGCTTATACTCCGCGACTTTAAAACACGTTTTAATTGATAAGGACTATTCACTTATAAGCTATATATCCAACATCTTTCTCGTGTTTTTGCTGATGTGAGACTTTTTGTCTTAAGCTGAATCTCATACGAAATTTTGTGTGTATATAAAAATATATATATATAAAAGAAATATTTACTATGAACTATTTAATGAACAATTAATAACAATTTCATAGCTGAATTTTTGAATTTTTATAGTTTTTTTTTATTTCTCATTCGGTATCTGGTATCCATATTGAAGTTAGATTAAATATGAATTTACGTCGAAAAATTCCATATTAAAGAGTAAATTGCTCCCTAACAAAAGCGACTTGAAACTTGGAACGAAACATAAAGGGAAAAAAAAAAGAAACCAAAAGTTAAAAAGCTCTGGTCCCCTAATGACAAGTTCTTATTTATGAGTCATTTCGTCAATATATAAAACACATAAAAAATGTGTTACATTTGTAAGTATTTTTGATATTCATATATTGCTCCAAATTATTATGCCAATATTTTCTACTAACCATGCATTTACTCTTTAAATAACTCTGATATTTTATTAATTAAGAATTAATTATTATTATTTTTGTATTCTTATAAGATATTAATAAGAGAAATTTGGGTTAAAAAATATTTTTAATGGTCATATTCATCTATGTAATCTTAGAAAAATGCAATATTTATCCTTCGTCATAAATTTATGATATAATTGTCTTTGACATTCAATTTTTAATACATATTTATTCTTGAATTGTCAAATCTCATGACCTCAAATTTTTGACTCATAACTCTATCATTGGCAAACAATCCTCAATTCTCTTTTGGAAATTTTATTTACTTTTCGAAAAAATACAAATAAATCAACTACTATTTAATTCTCGCTTTATTTTTATTTGTCCATAAATATTCGTTGACACATCTACCAATTAGAAGGGTTTTTTGAATTGTATTCTCAACTCTTTTAATAATGAATACATTTAGAAGAATTTTTGATTCAAATTACATCGATGACATTATATTATTCAAAATTCGGCAAATTTATTATTATAAAAATTCGCCAAATTTTCCCACTCTTGTATCCGTTGGTACATCTACAAATTTGTACTTACAAAATATTGATTTTTTTTTTTACTTTCTTAAATTTTATATCAAATTAAAATTAATACAAACAAATTAAAACATAAAAGAAGTAATACACAATAAGTAAAAAAGGAATTAATTAAGATGAGGGGTACATTTAATTAAGCCACACCTATTTATTCCATTATATATATACTGAGAATACATGGATACATCATAATGAACATACATGAAAATCATAATTATTTTTTCACATGTGGCTGGTTAATTACTTCAATAATCCATGAACTAACTAACCACAGGTATTGCTTTTCAGTACCAAAAAAATTTAATTGAAGTATGGTTTTATTTATCTAAAATATATTGCAGTAATTGAAGCAATTTCTATAATTATTGTCAGTAACTAAATTATGTTTAATTTGTGCTCAATTTATACGAGGACTTAAGTGATTATGATGTGACACTGAGATTCATTTTTTTTAAAAAAAATAATTTCACTCGATGCTTGATATTTGTATTGAAGTTCGATTAATTCAGATTTGTATTAGATAAGGCCTCATTCAATCGCGCAAGCGAAGCCGGGAAACGGACCGCAGCGCAACGACTAGGACTCGTGTCGGAGGAGTTTTGAGCGTGAGATAACTTCAAGGGTTAGCTTTTCATATCCAAGTTTTATTTAAATATGAAACATGAGATTGATATTACCATTTACTTAAATATTATATTTTCAAACACGCTTCGTCACAATAATATTTTGCCGGATGGGTGATATGACAACTACCCACTATAATATATCACGTTTAATTATATGATCATCTTATTTATATAAGCTTTAACGATTCGTCAATTCATAAAAAAAGAAAATCAAAATTGAAAAAAGACTACAACATGAAAGAAAATAATACATTAGTTTTATTTATGCTGAAATAGTAGAGTACATGAAGACATTATATTTAATATCTCCACTTTATTTAATTTTTTATAATAACATAATAATAATAATAATGTTACTAACCCATAGAGGGAGTAACTTGAACAACGCGTTGAAAGTTAACAACCAGAAAAACTCTGCCACAAACATAATTATGTGGCATAGGCATACCAGGAAATAGAAGCCTAACATCATGAACTATGGGATTTTCCTTTTGAATTACTACTTTTGCATATCCTGCTGATTTTCCAACAAGTTCAGGCCATGATAGCTTACCTAAAATAATTATAAATTTGTGATAATACTAAAAATAAAAAAAAAATCATATAATTATGTAACCATATGTGAAATTAAATTAATTACCTGGGCAAAATACAAATTCACCATCATTTTCCACTGGAAATTGTAGTACTTCTATGCCATCACTAATCAAATCTCTTGCCATCAGTGATTGAAAAACTGTAATTATATATAATTAATTAATTTACATATTTCAGAGATAATAAAATATATATATGCATGAGCATTGGCGGAATCAGTAATTTTACTAAGAGGGTTCGATATATGAAAGAAGTAAACAAATGAACTAGCTAATCGAAGGGGATTCAAAATCTGCTATACAACCAGGGGCAGACAATCCCCCTCGACAAAAAATTATGTTGTATATTTAAGGTACTGTTAAGAATTTTTTATGTTTATTTATAAATTTTGAATTAATCGGACTATAAAAAAAATTTTGGGGCTAATTAATTACATACGTGATGCAAGAAGCAAGAAAGCAAGCACATGAGATAACTTGAGCATATTCTTTCCCTCCATTTTGCTTTTATTTAATTTAATTGTGTGATGCGTAAAACTCATTAATTACACATCCATATTTATAGGGACTTAATAAGGGGTCGGGTCGATTTAATTATAAAGATTATGGTTGGTATCGATTAACTTAGTCATCAATAATTGATTAAAAAAAAAATTCAAACCCTACCTACCCCACATAAACTAAATCTATGGTCCCAAAGATTTTAAAGTATAAAATAAATATAAAATGTGATTGTTTTCTAAATTCACGTGAATTCAATTTTTTGAGAATAGATCTTATGCAAATTATATATCGTTCTCCAATAAAAAAGCACAGATAAAAAAATAAAAAGAACAAGAAAAAGAAAGTAATATTGTAAAAAAACTACGGTCCCATATAAAATGTTTTTATTCATGGGTCACGTTGTCAGTATGTAGAACATAAAAAAAATGTGATTTGTAATTATAGGTTTTTAATATTGATGATATATTGTTCCTAAATGTGATTTGTAATTATAGGTTTTTAATATTGATGATATATTGTTCCTAGTTATTATTTCTTTCAACCATCGATGCATTTACGTACTTCTTTATGTTATGATTTTCATTGTGATTTAATTGTATTATTTTTTTCGCTTCAAAATAAATGCTATTTAAATAAAATCGTGTTGTGTAGTTTTTCACTGCAAAATAAATATCATTTAAGTAAAAATCACGTCGTGTAGTAAAATATACATGCACGAGCATTGGAGGAGTCGCTAATTTCAAAATCTAAATAAGTAAACGCATGAACTAGTCGAAGACATTTGAAGTGATCTTTTCTTTTTGAAACCACTAATTAGGATAAAATTATTATTTTTAATTTACGTACGAAATGTAATAAATAGTGAAAATTAAATTTACACGTAGTAGGTGAGGGTCATCCTCTTATACCACTATTTTATTATTTATGAATTTGACAAGAACGAAACAGAAAATTTGATTTGATTTTATAGTCGATAATAAATATTTTCTAGTTATATAATTTGTTTTTACTAGAGAACTTTTTTATTAAAAAAAAAATACACAGAAGATCAATTTATTCTTAAAATACATGTTGGAGATCTTTGTATGAGTTTTTTTTTTAATGATGAAAATCCATTGAAGTAGTTTGAAATTCTAAGAGAAAATATGTTCGAAAAGTTTTTTATATTTAAGACTCAAATTCAAAAGTTGGAGTAAATTTCTTAGATTATCATTTGTGTTTGGAAATTTGCCCTATAACATCACTTTTATTTCTTTAAGACTAGAGGTTTACATTCGA